AGGTCAACGGTCAACTTGACCGGACTCGTCGAGTGCAAAGGCAACTCGGCGAGTCTAGACACCCCGACTCCACTCGCCGAGTCTAAAGAACGACTCGACGAGTTCCAGTAGGTCTTCAAGCTACTCGCCGAGTCTGAAGAACAACTCGGCGAGTCCTAGTGAATCTTCAAGCTACTCGCCGAGTCTGATCATTGGACTCGGCGAGTCCTCGCCATGCAGTCAATCAACTGCCTCCTGTAATTCGCATGATTCCGTAATATATAGATATGGGGCTTCCTGGACCTTCACATATACTATTACAGGGGTTTAAACACTTGTAACAACACTATAATCTATCAAATCCTTAAATGGGTTTCCTAAACCCTAGATTCGTATACAACGCCAAAACTACAGAAATGATCCGAGGATTACCTGGAAAACGTGTTCCCTGTGTCCCCAACCTTCAGAGCTCGACCCCTTGAACCTCCTTTGATCACCACCTTGCCTCTCCTTGTCTAACAACCTCTTCAAGCTTCCACTAGCCCTCACCCTTGCTCCAGATGCCCACAGACTCCTAAGTTATCTTCAATCGGCCAAAAGACGAGACATGACGGCCCTAAAGACATTATATACGATTCAGAATCAAAACGGCTAGGGTTTCAGCTGAACAGCGTTGACTCGCCGAGTCCCTAATGAACTCGTCGAGTCCAGTCGCGAATCTGTGACCAAGACCGTGGTCCTACTCGGCGAGTCAGGCATCAACTCGCCGAGTCCACCCCTTAAATATCCCCCAATTAATTTAAAGTAATACCTGAAATTCCGGGCTGTTACACATGACTTCCTCCACCCCTGAACGTTTCCGCCGTTCGTGGTATTGGGGTGTGACACCTTTGTTTTGGCAACTAGTGTGATGAAGGAGGAATTGCAGCCCCTTGATAAGGACCCAAATGCCTCAAAATATCTAACACAACCAACAATATCATCCTTTAGTATCGACCAAAAGCGTTTGAAGAATTTAAATGTGAATCCATCAGGCCCTGGGGCTTTCTCGCTACCACAACTCCAAATAGCATTTTTAATCTCTTCACAAGAAAAATTCTCCTCCAAAAATCCACGGCTGTCATCAGAGATCATTTTGAATTTATTGCTGTGAAATTTTGGTCTATCTGCCCATCTTTCGCTGAATTTTTTAGCAAAAAATCGTGTCGCCTCTGCTTTCATGGCCATCGGATCACTCGCCCATTCACCATTAATTAGAATGCCATGCATGTGATTCCTCCTCGATTGGTTGGATACATAGCCATGGAAAAAACGAGAATTTTCATCCCCGTCAATCGTGCATTTAATCCGGGCTTTTTGCTTCAAACCAATGATTGCGAGCCTTTCAAGTTCCTCTATTCTTCCTGAAATTCTAGTTCTTTCATCCAAATTGACATCATTAAAACAACCACAGTCAAACCTTTTATCAATATCAATACTGGCCTCCTTGAGTTTTATAGGTTCTGTCGATTCCTTAGAAAACTCCAAAGATTGCCATTCACGAATCGCCTTTTTGATTGCTTTCAACCTATTCAATAGCTTCGAGCTGGGGGGACCAAAACCGATGAATTCACGACAGGCCTTGCTAACCACCTCATCGAAACCTTGTCTGGTCAGCCAGGAATTGAATAGCTTGAATGGCAGCGGACCGAAGTTTGCTCTGGATTGAGAAAGTAGAATGGGACAATGATCTGATTTATCTCTTGGAAGAGTCGTGACTGATACATGAGGGAACAACTTGCAGAACTCCGAACAAACAAGAAAACGATCTAGTTTGCTAAGTTTCGCTCCAGACTTTTGAAAATAAGTAAATCGAAAACCCCCCATTTTGGTTCATGAAATCCCGCTAATTCGATGAATTTGTTGAAATAATTAGCACTAGATTGACAAAACGTGGAATTAATATGCTCTTCCTGTCTTCTCACCACATTAAAATCACTAAAGACAATCCAGCACGCTGTGTGAGAATTTTTAATGAGAAGCAACTCCTCCCGGAGCTTGCATTTCTCAGCAGGGGATTGGGGTCCATAGGCATTCACAAATGCCACCGGGCAGGAGAAGGCAGATACCAATAACAATAAAAAAGGAACGAGATTTAATTACCTCAGAAGAAGCGAAGTAATTCCTGTCCTAAATAGATACCAACTCACCAGATCTACCAAATTCAAAATTGTAATCACCCCAGCATTCTCTAATCATCTCAAGATTAAGAGGCCCTTCTAGATGGGTTTCCTGTAGACCAAAAAAAGAGGCTTTATGAAGACGACGAAGCGATTGCACCTAATCTCTCTTACGAGTTTCACCAAGACCACGGATGTTTAAAGAAACTATATTCATCGAGTATGATTACAAGCACCTGTCTCACCCATAGCTTCAATGAGGATCACGTTTTCCTCATCGATATAAAACCCAATCGAATGACCAATCCTTGCTGTGCGCACAATCTTAGGGGTAGAAATTATTGCTGGGTCAAAATGAACGTTATTTGAAACTGGATTTGAAAGGGAATTGTTTAAATTAATTATTTGGGTATCCATATGAGGAGCTTCAGACTCGAAATTTGGGGGAGGGGGGATATTTATGTCGCCTAGAGCAATGTTTCTAATTTTCCGACGTTTAGAGTAGGATCCGGTGAAATCAAGGTTTGGCCCCAAGGTATCCAAGTGGCCTGCTTCATTAAGCTTTCCAAAATCCAGGCCCATAGTTCCGTCAACCTCCGGCCACCATTTGAAGGACTAACCCACTTGGAGTTAAATGGCCCAAAACAGCCATTAGGTATCAAATTTTTTAATTCTCCGAATGAAATATTATCTGACGAATTCATATTAGTTGTCTTGGAATTCCCACTGTTCACCACCGATGGGGAATTACCAAGAGGTAGTTGAGATTCCCTAGGCTCTGAACTATTTTTTTTGGGCGCATCATTAATAACCAGTTGCATGGGAACGTGATCCAATTCAATATCATGGTTTTGATTATCAGCTTGTATATAATATTCCAAAAAAAATTGGATCAAGATAGGATAATTCATTTCGGTTTTTTAAAGATTATTATAATATTACTTTGAAAATGTACAAGTAAAGTATTTTTTTGAAACGACAAATTTAACATACTTATAAACCACTCTTTAATCCACTTATGTTCACGACAGGATTTTAACCATCAACCTCAAAGAAATAGGATAACACTAAATACCGTTGGGTTAGAAACCCTTTGGTACAAGTAAAGTATTTGAAACTAGAAAACATGAATAAACAAGAAACAAAGGATATGCATTTTAATTGTATATTCTTATGTATCGCGAAGAGATTGTTGTATAATCTAATTGATAATTATCACTTGAAATCGGAAACACTAAAGCTAATACATTTGATTCATAAAAATATCGATGTACTTTTTATTTATGGATGAGCAATGGGCCGGACCCGGATCAGACCGACCCGAAGACCGAAAACCCAAACACCGAAGATCATGAATTAACTAACCCGAAAACCGGACCGATTTAGAGTGTATCGGTCCTGGGTTCGGTCCGGTCCGGTTCCGGGTACCAAACCGGGTTTCGGGTTTCGAACCGAATTAGATTTTGACAGTGTTGTTTACAGTTTCAGTCTGATCAAGTTCTGGGTTACAAAATGGGTTTCATATCTTTGTTGTTTACATCAAAACACGTGAAATCATTCAATTTTTCTATTGAACATCAATACTTGTATTTTTTACGCACGTCCGGAGATCATGTGACAAAAGATGCACTTTTGTTGAACACGTTTGTAGATGTTGATTAACATCTATAATTTTCCATAAAACAGTTTGTACCAACGGTTTTCACAAAACCAGCAAAACCTATGTTTTTGTTTTGAACTTTTCAAGGAATATTAAAACCTCTTCTATCACTGCAAAATCATACGTTGCAGGACTCTACTTAAATCACATGCAAATAAGGTGTCTACATAAAAAATTACAAACGTTATTTAAAAAAAACTACATTACTAATAAAAAAACTGCATTATTTATTAAAAATTTGTATTTAACAGCTTTTACTTATAAAAAATACAGTAAAAAACAATCCCTTTTATAAAAACTGCACAAGTTATTAAAAACTGCATTTAGCAGCTTTATTTATAAAAAAAAACAGTAAAAAACAGCTCATTTTATAATAAACTGCACTATTTTTTGAAAAAAACTACATTATTTGTTAAAAAAACTGCATTTTTAACAAGAAAAAAACATTTTTAATAAAAAAAACCTACATTTTTTTTTATAAAAAACAATACTTTAAAAAGAAAAAATAATAATCTTTGGTTTTCTGGTCCGGTCCGGGTTAAGTCCCTTATATCGGGTTCGGTCCAGGCCAAACCCGAAACCCGAATATTGATAAAAGCAAAACCCGAAAACCAGCCTGCTAATATGAAAATCCGGTTCGGTCCGGGTCCGGTCCCGAGTTTGTTCTGGTTTGGTCCGATCCAACGGATCTTATGCTCATCCCTACTTTTATTTGGTACTAGTTGTAAGACTCATATATTATATGGTTGAGTAAAATATAAAATTAAATATGAATGTTTAAACAAAAATTTATTTAAATTTGAAATTTAAATTTTAAAATTTGAATTTAAAAGAAAACATATTAAATACAATATATGAGTAGTAATATTATCGTTTCCTAAAAATTGTAATATTGTAATTTATTGACTATTTTAATTAAGACAATTATCAATCGGAAGTGTAAATGTCATGTGTTAATTAAGAAAATATAAAAAAAAATGAGAAAATAACAAATGGAAAAATATTTATTTTAAAATACTAGAAAATGACATGTATCCAAATAAATAAGAAAATGAAACGTGACAAAAAAAAATTAAGATCAAGGATGACAAACTTTGCATAGATTAATTAAAAAAAAAAAGGACTACCAAAAATAGATAAAAAAAAAAATTGATCACATAAAATAATAAAACTATGGTCTAGTTTAGGTATTTGGGCTCTTAATGTTAAAGGCTAATATTTTAGCATGTCTTGGGCCACTGAACCCATTTAGTGTACATGTTTCTTTCTCCGTTTCTCTTTTCTCGCGACAGCAAGCAAAGAGAGAGCGTCTCTCAGCCGATCTGGAAGTGTTCCTTTCTGTCTTTGCGTCGCCATTTCAGAGTCTGATTGATCGTATACTCACATCCAAATAGTTTATTGGTCTCCATTTCATTTTGGTACGTTTATCTATTAGCATACCTTACGACGTTTATTCTTAGTTAAACGAACACAGTCACTAATTGATTGTCGTTCCACCTCGCCTTCACCATAAACGCAAAAACTTTACCTTCATCGGAGCAAATGACATATTCCAGACCAGGATATCGTTACAATTGCCAATTTATATTACTTTTCCTATTCTGTTGTACATTTTCTATGCGTTTCCTTTTGTTCTAGTTTTATGCCTGCCAACTGTTCGACGAATTGTTCAAATTTTGCATTTGGGGATTTGTCGGTTAAATTCATATAAATATTGAACTACAAACAACTGTGAAAGCCTATCAGATGGTTAGCACATAAAAGTTTAATATTCTTTTGTTCAATCTGAAGCAGCATTCATGTTTTTGGCACGAGTTTTTGGAAGGAGACTCTTTGCAACAGCAACATCAGAAGCTTCTGCTGCTGGGGCTGCAGCTGGTAGTAGAGTTAGAACTGCACATAACCCTCTTGAGGAGTTCTTTGAGATTGATAGAAACCCTGAGGAGGACAAACCTGTTGTCTACGGTATATACATCTCTATTTTTTTTTTTATTATATAATTTAAACTTCAGTATAAAGAATACTGTTTCTTGGGATACTTGCATATATTCTTCTTCATTCATTATACCATTTGAATCATGTTTTTGTACACTCTGGTTTCTGCCCACTATATGTTAGAGTTAGACCAATGTGTATGCTTTTTATTCATGTAGTGTAATTGTATTGATATTGTTAAAAATACAATTTTTATTTTAAAAAAAAAAATTCAGGGCGTAGTTGGAAGGCTACAGAGCTACGTTTGAAGTCATGGGAGGATCTACATAAGTTATGGTATGTCCTGCTGAAAGAAAAAAACATGCTCATGACTCAACGCCAGATGCTTCATGCTCAAAACTTGCGCTTTCCTAATCCTGAACGCCTACCTAAGGTTATTATTATTATTATTTTTTATTTTTTTATTCACTATAAATCAGGTGCTATTGTTGTATGTATAAAGTGTTGTTGTCTGAATAAGTTAAGTGATGTGTGGGTGTAGGTTAGGAAATCAATGTGCAGAATCAAACATGTGTTGACTGAGAGAGCAATTGAAGATCCAGATCCTCGGAGGACTGCTGAGATGAAGCGAATGATTAATGCTTTATGATCATCTTCTTGTTTTTTTAGCATCATAATCATAATATACCAATAAACTGAATTCGAGAGGTGATTATGAGACCTTTTCCTTTTATGCTTGTAATTGTATGCACTAGGGATATGTCTTTTCATTTATTCCATGGAGATGAACAAAAGAAAGGGGAGCACATTAGTCATTTTTTTCTTTCTTTCATACAATGTTTATCTAGACAAAAATTAGTGGAAATAGAAGGAAAAGACATGGTGGCTTGGAAAGGTTGAAGGCATTTTATGGGTAGGGTTTTGTCTTGATGGAGAGGATTCATGGTTTAGATCTTCATTGATTTTTAATATATAAGCAAATTGGCTTTTGAGAGTTTTTAGCTTTTAACAAAAAGCTCCCAATCTAAGGCGTGTTTGACAACGGTCTTTTGAAGCTTTTAGCTTTTAGTAAAAAATTCGATTTAAAATAAAATCTTTGTTTTGAAGTACGAGTTTTGGTTTTGGTTTTAATAAAGAACTTCAAATCTTAAAGCTACATCATGTAATGTACGTGTAGGAAAAAACTAGTGAGTTTTTTTAATCAATTTTTAGAACTCCCCTTTTATTTATTATGGTTCACATTTAGCTTTAAGACAAGTAACTTTCTATGTAATTTTACATAATTTTAAAGCTTCTAATTACTTTTACCAAACATTCATATAACAAATAAAAACTATAACTTCGATCTAACAACTAGTTTTGCTAAACACGTCTATAATGTAGGAGAATAAGAAAAGGACAATTTCACAAATGATAATAATTCTTTTCAAATTTTCTGTAATATAGTCCTTATGAAACATTTTTTGCGTGAATGGTCCCTTTAGAGTAAATCTTGCACACAATCAGTCCTTATAACTAACACTGTTAGTTTTTATGTTAAATATAACTAAAAAAAACTATATTGCCCTTGCACACCATCACATACACATTTTCTTTCTATCTCTTTCTCATTCACATGAACACTAAGAACAAGAACATTTAAGAACAAACCACCTACTCCTACCACTGTCCATTACCACCGTTCGCCTACTGCCACAAAATCTCTTGTATGTTGTAATGCCTGCAGATTCGGGCTAGATAATTTAAAGATAATGAGCATTAAAAATGACTTTTGATAGAAAATTATTTAGGACAAATAATCTTAACAAAAATTATAGTATACGTGACAAGGATTCCGTACATTTAAACAATGCTAAAATCTAACTTTGAATGAAGAAGTTATATTTCTTTGAAGTTTCACGATTAAACCAACACGACTCTACGTATCGTAAAAAGTGAAGTTTAGATAAATTACTTTTTAGTCTTAGTAATTTAAACGATAGTCATAGTATTCATTAACTCGAGAGTGTGCATATAGATAACGTCCAAATCTAACTTCAGTAAAGGAAGTTATGATTTTTTTTAAAGTTTCAGTGCAGTAGTGCGGGCATAGAAATCAAATTTTAGATCGATCGATTTTTTATTCGATATGATTTAAATAAGAATTTAAGATCTCATTAATAGAAGTTCGACGATAAAAAGACAGTTGAAAACGGAGGTTGTATGTAGAAGTTGTGAATTTTACACGATCATTAGCAGTGTAATCTTCTCAGACTATTAAATTTAAGATCGGTCGAGAATTAGCCGATAGGTTCAAAAGGAAAGCTGTAATAATCGGAAATACCTACGTGTGGATATAAAGAACGTCAAAAATGGAGTTCGTATGCTGAAGTTATGAATTTTTGAAGATCTATAGTTTTACCTGCATCTAGTGTCACGTGACAGCACCAAAGGAGAAGCCTTGGTGACTACGCAAGCTTACGACATGAGAGGCATGTCTCACGATGTGAGAGGCCCTGGGCAACCTATAAATAAAGTCGTTTTCACTCATTTCTTCACATCTTTCCATTCTATTCTCTCCCAAATCCCCCAAGGTCCAATGCCTTTCTCTAGTACTTCCTAAGAGTTAGTAGTGAAGCTATGGAGCGCAAGAAAACCCCGAGAAATAGAGCTTTGGTTTAGAAGTTCTTCCTATGCAGAGTTCGGTTTCTCGCTAAACCACATGTAAGTTGAGTTATGCTAACCGTTTTTAAGTATAACTTATGTTTAAGTTCATTATCATTATTATGAATCTATAAACAAGATTCATCAGTGATTCAAGTCGTTATAATGATTAATCTACTTATGGAAATGACCATGCTAGATTTAGTGAGGCGTTTAAAGTGGGCTTTCCAAACAGTATATTATGTATGCCAAATGGACCCTACCTCCGATATAATCTTACCTGGTTGTCCTATATCAGCTAAAACTCAGTAATAATGATAATAGGTTACAAAGACAGTTGCTAGGAGCGAAGCGTTGTCTGAGTTTCGAGTCATCACTTTAACAAGTGAGTACATAGTCTTTTTCATGAACATGATTTTAATACAGTTATTAATTAAAGTATTAAATATCTGTTAAAGAGTTAAATATTTGTTAACGAGTTTATGTGTGAGTGCATAGTCCCTTTCATGAACATGATTTTAATACAATTAATAATTAAAATATTAAATATATATTAAAGAGTTAAATATTTGTTAAAGAGTTTATGTGTGAGTGCATATTCCCTTTCATGAACATGATTCTAATACAATTATTAATTAAAATATTAAATATATGTTAAATAGTTAAATATCTGTTAAAGAGTTTATGTGTGAATGCATAGTCCATTTCATGAATATGATTTTAATACAATTATTAATCAAACTTAGTCATGGACATATATGAATGTTATATTGAAAAGGTTCAACATAAGGGAATTCTGTATATATGACAATATTATAGCAAGAGACTGATAAAGTGTAATGTCTTTATGTAAGACATTATGTATCGTATCCCATATGCTTGGGGTATAAATAGATAGGATTCTATTAAGAATAAGTTGTCATATGCCAAATATGGAAATGTTTTCATAATGGGAGTTGGATATTAAGAATCTATGTGTAGATTAAAAACTTTTATGCAAGAAGGATGTTAAAATGAATGTACTTTGAATGTGAGACTTCATGTCTATAGAGTTGTCTTATAACAATCTCCAATAGAGCACTTTGTAATATTATTGGCAGAGTCTTAGTGACTTTGGTGCCATGACGTTACAAAGGGATCATTGCACAAAATGTTAGAATCTAACATATTCTAATAATGGTAAGAATTGGTATTCTTACACTTGTGATAAGGATTGGGAATTGTGAAATGAACGTCATTGAAAATGTGTTCAATTGATCTATTTCACAAAGTAAGAACCATAGGTAAACATAATGTGCATGCTTGGAGCATGGTACAATTATTGTTATAATTCAAGTATTAAGTTGATTATCCGAAACATTGTACAATGAATAATGTGTAATCGATGTGGTGATTAAATAAAATGTGTTTTATTTATACTCAAGAGTTTGAGGCCATATTGGGTTCGATTATTCTTGTGTTTCACTTCGCATGTTTTGACTTTCCGAAAAATAAGATTATTCAAACCATCCACAGTCGATCATACTTTGGAAGTAGGTATTAAGGCAAGATTGTCATGAATCCGACTGTAGATTGTCTAAAGTGTTTAGACATAGCAAAAGTCTGGTGCAGTGTTCATGAGTGCTCCTGGAATAAGATTTGAGTATTAGAATAAACTCACGCTCACGTGAATCACTTCATGGATTTTATCACGAGTAATTGTGAGACGATAATATCTTATATTCTTGAAACAGAGACATGTGAGTTGTAGTTTGCAAGTCGGTTGCACATTGATAATGTGTAAACGCACCAGTAACTTGGTGTTATAAAACATATTGTTGTGTGTGATTTGATGAGTAAGTACACGCAAGCATCTGAGTCGAAGTTTATCCATTCCTTTTACCCAATGTAGGATAAAAGCGATATCTATGGGCCCTTCGATGAATTAGTGATGACACCCTAAGTGCTTGGCCAAGCCTGGACTAAGTTGATGTGTTCAATTGTAGTCTGTTGGCAGTCATCATAGATCAGAAATCGGAAAACAACACATAGACAGAGAGAATGATTATATTCCATGTCTCATGTCTATACGATATCTAGAATGGAGGAATATATGATCCCTTATCTAAAGGATGCGTTACTGATAAGATCAGAGTCTGACAACAACTTTTGAAAGCTACGATTGCTAATCAGGTTCTGAAGTCGTACTCTCAAATTAGTTATTAGACTTATCCAATTAGGAGACTATTGGATTAGGTGTTTAAGCCCATAACTATTTTGGTATGTACTTGACTCGATTAAGAGTATGGTCCTTTTGGGTTGCCTTCACCATAGCAACTAATAGGATGAATTATGGAGAAAGAGGATTTATTATGATCTATTAATGTATTATAAGAATAATATATTAATTGAGAAATCATATTATTTAATTAGTATTGATCAGAAATTAATTAGGAATTAGTTTGGTGATTAAAAGATACTAATTAAATTATCGGGGACTGATTATGCAAATCAGTAATATTTATAGTTTGGGCTCATGGACCTTATTGGTATAAGGTGGATGAAATCTCTATGAGAGTCCATAAAGATTTCGTCCAAGGCTTGTCCATTAACGAGTCCATATGTTGCTTAGGGCCTAAGCAAGGGAATTAGGGTTTCCAGGTTGATAACCCTAGAAGCCTCAACTATAAAAGGAACACCAAAGGCTCCCAAAAACATCCCAAGCCATTTTAAGAGAGTCCTAGATGTTTTGAGGCCTCCTCCTTTATCTCATATTCTTCTTTGTTGCTAGTGGTGTTTGTGACTCCATTAGAGGTGCAACATTTGGGGCACTAAGCTTTCAACAATCAAGGACTTTGTGAATTGTTCTTGTTATTGCTACATAACAAGTAAGGTAAGATTCTGAAACCCTTATTTACATATGAATTTCGTTCGTATACATGTTAGATTAGGGTTTATGCTTTGGAAGATTGTTTGCACGTATAAATTGAGGAAAACCTAGATCCGAAGCATTAGGGTTGCATGTACACCATAAGAATGATGTTATGCTCAAAACGCATCAACATTCTGCTAAGAGATTCAAGGAATATTAGGCCACTAGTTTAATTACTGTAAGTCTTGCAATATTTTGTTATGCCTATGTTTCTGTATTGACGATGACATCCCAACGTTTTAATATAAATAAAATACATTTCTTTGGAAATACTTTTATAATATCATTATCATGTTTTTTGGGAACAAATTCCGCAATATTATTCCTCAAATAGGATAATCTAATTTTAAATAAGCATAAAACAAATCGGTCTTTTCTGGCCGTGAAATTGGGGATGTCACATACTAATTAAATGACGTGTCCTAACCCGCTGTTACTCG